ACATATTTATTAATACAGTTTATGGTTTAGCGGTTTTAAAAATTTCATTGAAATACGTCCAGTCGTTTTAGCGTATTAGAGCAACAAACATACTCACACACTCACGGACAAATTTTCAAATTTAAAATATTAGTAGGATTAGGAATAAAGAAGCAACATCAACGAAGTAGAAGTTATCAGAGACATATGTAGTAGCCTAAAGTTTTATTTCATAAGAAAAACTAGTAAAAACATGTCGAGCCTTTGCTGCAAATTGTCAAAATCAAAAAAAAAGTAAGTGCGGCTGGGCCACACTGGAGAAGTCAAACTTACGGTACATAGATATCTATTTTGTGTCATAACCAATATACATCCATACATACGTACATACATACATACATACATCTGATTTTGCTTAAGGTTATATTTTTTGTCTTTTTCCATCTAGATCCCTCTGTTCGTTCTAATTACATTTATGTTATTCCGTTTTTCATTATCTTAATTTTTATCTTTACACTCTACCGATAACAAAATTGATAGTAACATCCAATAAAATATCGATAAACAAACCGATAAAAATATCGATAACAAAATCGATAAAAATTTCGATAGCCAAAACAATAATAATATTAGTAGCAAAATCTATTAGAAACTCGAAAAGAATATCCATAACAAAATCGATAAAAATATCAATAACAAAGTCGTTAAATATCGATAACAAAATCGATAAACATCGATAACAAAATCAATAAAAATATCGCTAACAAAATAGTTAAAAATACCGATAACAAAATTGATAAATATCCTTAAAAAATCGATAACAAAATCGATAAAAAATGTCGCTAACAAAATAGTTTAACATATTGACTACAAAATCGATAAAAATATCGATAACAAAATCGTTAAAAATGTCGATAGCAAACCCGATAAAAATATCGATAAGTCCCGAGAGTTCCGAATATTTCTAAAATCCCAAAATAATTCCCAGATTGATTCTCTGTGTCTCTCTCTTTATCCTTTCCTCTTAAATTACCTTTATTTTAATCTTTCTTTCCCCATCTTCATCTTTACTTTTATCGGTATCCGCATCTTCCCCTTTGTCTTTACTTTTATGTTTATCATTTTCTTCATCTACATACATATTCCCCTTCACCTTCGCCCTTATATATATATAAGGAAAGTGTTCAAATTTACCTTGGCCTTCATTTTTGCCTTTATCTTTACGCATCTTTGTTTTTGTTTTTATGTTTGCATTTATCCTTTTCTTTATCCATGTACGTAGTCACCTTTACTTTCATTTTCTGTTGGCCTTTTTCTAGGTGTTATTCTTTAACCTTTTATCAGCAAATTTTAGTTAAATTAATACCATATGCATACACACAAGAAGCACTTTTTTCAGGCCCAATCAATTCCGTTGCACCATTTCCATTGCATCATTTCCGTTGCACCATTTCCGTGTGCAATCTCCTTTGAATTTGCCAATTTACTCCCAACCAATCAACCTCCGCTAAAGAAGTTTCACTTCAAAAATAATTGAGTTAAGTGTGCAGAAATGTTTCTTCATTTTTACAATGGAAGCGTATGTAAACTACATATAAAATCTAAGGCTGCTTTTGTCGAGTTTTTAATTTTTTGGAGCTTAACTCTCCTGCAGAAACGGTACTTTATTTTACTTTTTTAAATATATTGCTTAGTTCATGCGTATCCTTTTAAGTTATTCATCTCCTCTTTTCTTTAAATTGTCTACCTTCCGCTTTTCCAGCCACTTAAGCACGCATACTAAAGTTTATATTCGTTTATGTTCAGATGAGTTACACACTTACGCATGAGCCAAGTGGCTCACTTCGCGCTTCCTTATCATGGAGAACAACAGCAAAACCACCCATTCTTTGAAATAGTGACTAAAAACTTTCAGAGTTTGAGAATATATCCTATAGCATTATACATACAAATATATATATGTACATGCATACATGAAAAAAGTTACATGAACGCAATAGTGAAAGAAATGTATACTAAATAAATATAGTAAATACATACAGATATGTATTTGTATTGCATACGAGGGGGATATATACATATTTACATACATACATGTATGCGTATATTTAAGCATACAAAGATTCTGAGTGCGTAACTAGCGTGTGAACTTCCGTCACTCTGGGTAAACTTCACCGCTTGGTCTATGTGCCATCAAAGGAGTCAGAGGCACATGTCTACGATGTCGCTTTGAATCATCAAAAAAGAGTTGTTGAAGTGATTTGAGGCTTCCCAATCTAAGCACCATGAAAAGTGGAGACTTCAGTGGCCAACGGAGTGCCTTAAGTTCACTTATAAATGGACCCGTTGTCGAATTCATAGAATAAATGGTATCGACTTTAATCTTTATTAAGCCCTGCAATGTTCATAATTATTCAAAAGAACTATTGCAAAGCAGTAATCACACTGATACGTTAAGGATACAAAATTTGGTAAACTGATGGATCCAAAAATGACGATGAGAATCCTCGACTTAGACTTCAGTGAAATATACCAGGCGGAATTTTCGTAATTACAATCTTCGCTCGCGGATGTTTACTTGTAAGGACTGTTGGGGCCACGGTAAATATCACATCGGACAGCGACGCGGCATTCAAAGGCTTGGAATGGTGTAAAATGGTGTCAAGAGGAAGAGTAGGAATTTTCACATTTGGAACCCGTAACAAGGTTGCGTTCTGGTGTATTTTTCTGACTATATGGCCCCTAAGCTTTTACATGGTCCAGCCAATGGATATATGGCAAAGCTTCTAAGAAGTTAGGATGACTCTCAGATCGTAGCGTACTGATGCACTATTGGCCAAATTGCGATTTTCTGGATTATGATCTAATATAAGGGGAAAATATAGAGATAACCCAATATTTTTTCTTTGTATAAAGTTTAAGTTATGTGGATTAAAGGAAGACATAAATTGAATGCAGTCTTCACCGATACATTGCCAAAGGTCCAACTTAAAATATATAAAAAATAATAATTACAGATTTGCCACCTGTTTGAAAAGTGCAGTTTAAGTAAATTGATAAGAACCTAATTATTGCAATATAACTGCCAGAAGACAGTGTTTTAAGAAGGCTTATATCCGAAAATTATTTTTGTGGAAGTATGCCACCTGTGTGAAAATTGTTGTTTAATTTAATTGATAAGACATTAAATTTTGCAATATGGGTTTCAAAGTAAAAAGACTTAGAAGGTTTACTGCTGAAAATATTTTGTTTGAAAAACTGTATTCAATTCAATTGATAAACTATGTGAAATATTTACAATACGGAATTAATAAATTGGAGAATGTTTACTGTTGAAAATATTTTCGAAACGGTTTGCTATTTGAAAAATTTAATTCAGTTAAATTGATAAGATTAACTAAATATAGGGCTTCGCAGCGCCTTCAAAGAATTTTTGTTTGGTTTCTCCCTCTCACAACATCTAAAACTATTATTTTATACTTTCTTTGTACTTTTATACGGATTTTAATATCTTTTTAGAAAAGTATTGAATTAATATACCTTTGAAGAAAGTGCGCGAAAAGTTATTAACTAAAAACCACATTCATAAAAATTGGAAATGCTTCACAAATCGAAAATTTGTTTGAAAGCTTTTTAAATCTACTTTATTTTTTATAAATGAAGCCATGAGGGTATTGCGAGAGAGTAAAAATACAAAAATTCTTTCAAAGCGTAACGAGGTACGCCGGGTATTATTGTATCAATAAATTTAAAACAAAAACCATTTTGCTCCAGAGTTATGTGTTTATTATCGAAATAAGCTGCTTGAAATGGCCTTTATTTACAAGCTCCCATTCTTCAATGTAAAAAGAGGTTGACGCGTTCATATATGCCTTTAGTTTGACAGATCTTAAATGCATTAGTAATTATTTGTCGTAATTAACTAGGCACTGTATCGATTACACTGATGATGCACAAAACGTTTAGATAAGCGGTGCACGGATTGTTGGTGAAAATTGACAAAAACCGTTATGGATTGCTTCAAAATTTATTTTAAATTCATGTTTATTGAATTCAAAACGTCTCAAGCTTTTCATATTCAAAGTTTTTCCTTAAGGTATTACCTCAAAATCGGCGTATATTCAACTGGCGCTAACTTCGCTATCAAGCTCCGGGGAGGAAAATGTCCCGGAACATTTTTCTTTTTTTTGCCCAAGGAATACGTGCGCCCAATTCTTGTACCCAGTTTTGAATTTGTTTTGGAGTTATTTCCTTACAAGCAAGTAATATACATATATTCCAAATATGAACCAAACCAGACCATAAATACGGATTTTTCATTTATGTTTCTCGACCCTGCGCCATGGTGTCGACTCGTTATATTAAATTTTAAATAAGGCTAGGTAGTAGGCAATCCTAGATAGTAGGCAATCCTATATATTTATGTATAACAACCTCACGCGAAATCACTGAATTTTCGCTTGGAGAGCTTTGGCACTATCACTGGTCGTCTGACAGGACACTGAAAGCTAAGCTACAATTTTCGTAAAATGAGACTTTCGGGGTAGACGAACCGCATCTTTTGTTTTGTATGGAAGTAGTAATTTTAGACATCTACACATTTACAGTCTGGAACATAACACACTCAAAAGTGCTTAATTTTATAACGACCTTTAAATTGGAGTGACTTTTTAAGCGATCTAGCTACAACGCAGCGCTTATATGCCCTTATAATAATAATAACAACATGTTGCCAATGTAGTAATTTATTTGATATCTAGAAACGTTTTCGCTGGCAACATTTATGCTAGCAACATTTATGCCAACAGATCAACATTCAATTTACACAAATGTTACATCCACTCAAAAATGTTAAGTAACATTAAAATTTGATGCTACGGCAAACTGTTAACACCTATCTTCGATGCTACGGTAGCTGTTGCGCATTAAAAAAAAAAAGTTGTTTTTATTTTCTTTAGCTGCTCGAGCGCTGCTAACGCCACATCAGTTACCATGATGCACTCACCAACAGGCGGATTGGTGAAAGAGTTTCAGTTTTGATTGACTTTACTTATCGGTCAGACGTAGTATAGCGCATGAATTAATGTTATGGAAATATTTAAAAACGACAGCAGTGAGAAACGCAACACGCGAAGCTAGAAACCAATTCTCAACCAGTACCTGTTTGCGACTAAAGAGTTTATATAGCCATAAAGGAACTTACAGAAGTATGCAGTTAGCTGCCGTCAAAAAAATATGCGACATAGCTGCAGAAAAAAGCAGTAGTTTGGTAACAAGCTGGCCTTTTGGATTTACCGGTTTCTTGACAGCAACAAATAAGCGGACAAATAAACAACCTGATATCTTAATAGGTATCTACAATGCAAGCAGAAATTCTCACATTTATACCCAGATTTGAGAGTACTAAACCTTGGCTCAAAAAACATAAACCTGCGTTTGTAGTAGTAATTCATATTTATTGCGCTGACTGCGTTGTCAACGCTAACATCAACGTCAAAACCTTTGTCGGCTAAGCGTTCTGACATGTTATATATGGATGTACCTGTGTTTGTGTATGTGCATTTGTTACAATTCGCGTGTATGTAGAGCAGCGTTGCCAGAATTTTTTCAGGCATCCAGCTAAATGGACAAAAAAGAGCTAAATAAAAAATGTTTAAGGCTAAAAAAAAAAAAACGTAAAGTAAAGGCAACTATTCAAATTTTTTATTAGTTTTTTTCACAAAAAAATTTCAAAATAGGTACTTATTTCTTATATCCAATAAGAAATTAAGGGTTATTTGAATAATACAAAAATGGAGGTAGTTTCAATAAACAAAATTTTTGATTCAAAAAGCCGATTTTTGACAATTGCTCAATTGTCAGAGCAGAAAACTGTGCCAAAAGTATGTTAGTGATGAACATAGCATTGCAATAATCGATTATTTGTCCCCCCAAACAGAGTTAAGGGCGCATACAGTATAGGTAGACATATGTAAATACAACCTGCGTTTATCGCTTTTTACAATTTTGTGAAGAATAATTGAGCCGAGTTTATTCGTACAATATTTTGTATTTGGATATTCCTTAGTTTAGAAAAAAGCTAAAAGATTTTCAGAAAAAAGCTAGCAGCTAAATTGTAATTTGTGTAGCTAAACGGCGAAAAAATAGCTAACTCTAGCTGGAAAATAACTGAAATGGCAACACTGATGTATAGTCTACATTGTAGACATACCTTTTTCTTGGTTTTGCGTTGACCATTTGATCTTTCTGCCACCGCTTTGATCGCTCATTTCGCTTTTGATTGCTTTATAAGCTTTTCCGTTTTGTTTGTGTCTTGTGTGTAATCTAATAACAAAAACGCCAAGCATCAAAACATAAAAGCATAATATAACAGCAATAGCAACAAAGCGAGGCAGACCAAAAAGCGTGGCTTGAAAAATGTTGTAGCTGACCGTTGACGGAAACATTGAAATGCGTGGATGAAAGAAAAAGAATAAAAAAATAAAATTTAACAAAAATGAATCGTAAAAAAATTACTACGAATAGTACTTATGCAAGTATTTACATACATGTAAAAAGCGAAAGGTTAATGTGACTAAGCAATTGTAAGCAGCTTTTTGAGTACTACATATTTTGGAGATTTACAAGTCGTAATAATAATTATAAAATGTTTTGTGGATAAGGTACATACGTAGGTATGTACATCTACTCTTAAGCAGTATATGACCGACGGATAGAATTTAAGTGTGCTCTGCGCAACCCACCAGAAAGAAGACCCCGATATATACACAAACTACCGCGGCATCAGCTTCTGAGCGTCGGAAATAAGTCCTTATTGAACGTATTGTGTGAATAGCCAAAGCCCACCGTCAACGAACAGATGGGGCCTTATACGAGTGAGGCTTTAGATGTAATAAATCCGTTATGTACCAGATACTGTAAGAGGAGGTTCGACACACATATCATCGATTTTAAAGATTCTTCCGGCAGTTCGAACATAAGCTGCCATTATGCCGCGATATCTGAATTTGGTATCCTCGCCAAACTGATATGGCTGTGTAACATGACGTTGAGCACTACCACCAGCTCCGTCAGAATTGGTAGAAATCTCTCCGAGCCATTTGATACCCAAGGGGTTTCAGGTCGACTCCCTTTATTGACCAGCATCAATACCAATAATATTTGGTGCGTTCCTGGGGTTTTCGGACCAAAACGTGTAGAAAATTGAAATAGCAAAATTACGCTCTCAAATGAGTGTAATAAACGAGTGTCAGGAAAAAATTGCTGGAACGGATAAAAACACTTTTCCTACTCTAAAATTCTTCATACGATTTAACATTTTTTTCTAGTATTCGAGACAAAATTTCTGCGCAAGATTTATGGGCCTTTGCGTGTTTACCACAGAGAATACCGCAGACGATGGAACGATGAACTGCATGTAGCTTATTAAAATATAGCGAATCCGCTGGCTTGGCTTCACTTGGCATTTCCAATTGGCACCTGTTGGCATGGAAGAAAAATGACGGGGTGAGTTATTGGAAGTTGAATTCGGCTAAAATATCTGAGGCAACCGCGTCAATTAAGTACAAGAAGAGAAATACTATTACATCCTCAGGGAGGCTGTGGCAAAGAAAATCCGAGGAATAAGACAGAATAAATTTAGTTAGTTGTAGAAAAGGAATAACGATCCAATAATAGTAATTAAATATCTGGTAAAAATCAATAGTCGCTTAAGTCTACATTCTTATGACAGATTTAAGTTGAAGTCAATAACATTAAGCGATTAATGAGGCTGAAAACATTCGTAAGTTATTATTGGCATTAATACTTAAGTCGACATATTTTTTAATAATAGTAATAATACGATATGTTTGGGTAGGTTTTAATCCTTTCCAGGCATGAAAAACTTCGTTCACGTGTAGCTATTGAACAGGGCAAAAGTGCCAATACGCGTAAGATCTTAAAAACATTCCCAAAGGACGTTGTAAGACGTTTTAATGTTTCGAGAGCATCTCGAAAATGTTCGTTTGAAATTCGTTGTTTCCACAATTTTAGGTCCATAAGAAATTTTGTTTCGAACAGTCGATTACAAGTTACACAGAAACTGGACTATTAAAAGTATAGTACCAGTATAGAATTTATTATTTCACATAACCAATTATGTATCTATGTACACTAGACTAGAAAAGATGGCTTTTGGTCTAAAACTAAGCTGTGCAAAATTTGATTTAAATATGAAAGCTCTAAATACTTGCACGTTGCATTTGAAAATTTAAAGAATTACATATATGCATTCAGGAAAAAACGCTGTGTACAATCTTACTTTATATATTTATAATTTTAGGAAAATCATAAGCATCTTATATATAAAAATATTAAACCCGTCTCCCTAGATTTAAAATTGCGTTAATATGAAGTCTCTAGCATGAGCAGAACCCGAGATACAAGGATTTGAAGAAGTACATGATTGGTCAGAATCACGAAAAAATCATAAATTTGACAGAACATAACTCTGAAGAAATAAAAGAAAAAAAATCCTTGAGTACGTGTTAGCTTATTTCATGTATAGAACCTTAAAAAAATTTGAAGCCAATCGAAAGCCAATTTGGTGTACAATATGCAAAAGATACGAGAATTGCTCGTTAAAAAAAAAAAAATAAGAATAAGGAACAAAATTTCGCGCATGTAATATTATAATTGATTTTGAGCAAGCTTGCAAGGATGCTTCATATATCCTTCGCAATAGTTTGCTTGCCTACACAATGAAAAAGAACATACATACTTATCGTAATTGCAAAGTTTCCTTAGTCTTAATGATTGAATAAAATATACTGATGCAGCAATACTTACATACATAGCTTAGCTGTTTGCGTTTTCTTTATTTTGTTTTAATTAGTATGTTTGTCGGAGAGTTGCACCTTAGTTTCTCAGGAATAACACATATGTAAGTAGATGGTTAAGTTAAGTTTCGCCTTGGTAAGAATTAATATTTTGTTGTGGAATTATATTTGGTGTGGGTGGAATTAATTATTTTTGGTTATACATTACCTATATATGTATGTGTATACAGTCGTACATAATTGCCGTCTGCATACTTAATAAATTCCAAATTACACATTTCCGATTAGAACACTCATAAAATTGTGAGCACGTGCTATAAAAATTATCCCTATAAAACTTAGCTTAGCAAAATAACAGCAACAATGCCTCTAAATACTGCATATACTATCACATTATAATTAGGCGCCAGATGGTCCAGACATACGACATTGCAGATGTCTGCTTACTAGAAACAAAAAAAACAACTAAAAATGTAAACGTTCGTAGGTATAACTGCAACTTTCAACCACTACGAGTTCTAACTAACTAATGCCAATGTGTGCGGCATTGTTGCATTGGGAGGATGGTGAGGGTGGCGACCAACAAACGAAAGCCACACAAACCTCGTACGAACATAAGCTGCCAGTGGTATCCGGTAAATGCATTTACAATGTTCACAACATACCAGAGAAAAGGGAAAGCAAACATTGAAAAGCAAAGTGCACAGAAGAAAAAAAAACGAAAAATATGAACTATAAAATAGAAAAGCATTCAAGGATTAGCAACCATTATTTTTGGCACTTTCCTTTTAGAGCAAATGCTACGTATTTTATGTGAAATCCCGTGTGGCACTGGAAAAGTATTGCTTGTACTCAAGTACATACATATGTATATATGTAGGTTTGCAACTATAAATAGCTAGCGCTGTTCGTTTGGACATTTTGTTCCTTAGTGTACAGCGAGACAAGAATGTTGTTATAAAAACTCTTCAGCAAATTCAAGGCAAACATTTATTTGCTTATTGACACTGGCTGACACGGAGCTGTGCAGAAGTTGTGCAGCAGCGTATGTATTTATGTACATATGTATGTACGTTGAGCGCAGAGCAGTCAGTTCAGACAGGGTGAAATTGAAGTGCAGCGCCGGCAGAATGACGCTCGCCTCGGGGTGGTTTTTCTAGCTGAGCGTAGTATTTAAGTTGTTTACCACTTCATCTCGTAAAAGTCTGCAGCGCCTCTAACGATCCACAAACATATGCCCTCTAGGTATGCTACGATTTTTAATTAAGTTTTTGTATGACTACTCCTGCATTTGCTAATGAACACAGGCACATTATTTCTCTCTAGTACCCAGAGACAGGATATCATGCTCATTCAATAGTAACGAGCAAATCATATTTTAATCAACGATGACCGATACACTTTGCATTTTACGAGTATTTCACTAGGGCATTCATAAAGCGCAAATTTTAAATTTAAATTTAAATTTTCGAAAAATGCCGGAAGGTACCAGGAAATTGCGAAAATTTTCAAAACGTTTCAAAAACTCCTGAAAGTTTTCGAAGAAGCACCAGAAATCATCGAAGCGATCACAAACCATTCAATTTTTATATCAAGGTAGATTACTTATGCATTTTCAAAGTTTCTTGCATCTTGCATCGATTTTTCTTAGAATGATGGCTGTAGGTAATCCCTATGAAGTTGTGAGTTGAAGCGCTGGGTGATGCTGACGTCCACTCCATAGAGTTTATTGGAAGTGTTGAAAGCCGAAAGCATAGCAACTTAGAAAGAAAAACTGAAATCATAACCTCGTCATCCTCCAAACTACTATGGAAATAGTCGTCTTAAACGTCGATAGCAAAAAAGTAAAATAGTAAAAAAGTCGATAGTAAAAGCGATTATATTTTAATTTTTATTTTTGGTCAAAAAATAAGTGTCAACTATATATTCAACTATTATATTTTTAACTTATAAAATACCGGCAAAAAATAACGATTAATTGTTGACTTTTTTGAAAAAATACGAAAAAAATTAAAGTTTTTGCTCAACGCTTGCATAGTCGATTAAAAGCCCATCTAGGAGTAATCTAGAGGTTACCACGGCAACTCTTATATACTTGCTGTCCGATAAGATGACTTCAATGGTACTCTGGATAGCCTTTTTATTTATCAGCCATGGAGTTTCATGTAAAACAAGATTTGATATAATAGAGTTCCGCATTTCAGAAAATCACTATTGGGCCCCGGAATAGGTAAACAGAGGCGGTCAGCCCGCTAGGTGGCGTGAACAATAGGGTTTTCAGTAGCCAACATGTCATGAATGTATGAACAACGAGGCTCTGCTGTGAAGGTTTTTCTTTCAAAAGCGGCGGTAATTTTGCACGCGCTTCGCTAAAAATCCAAACGAGAGTGTTCCTGATCAGTGAACGATTTTGAAATGGGTCCATTTTTTATCGGGTACTCAAGGCCGTGATTTTTAAACATTTCCCTCGAACTATGCAAAAACTGAAGTATGCCATTCAGGATAACTTCAAGCAACAGCATTGCACCAACATATTGACGATTTAATTTTTGAAATCTTACCAAAAAAAAAACCTTATTACATGGACTTTGAATAAGCAAAAAGTCTTTTCCATATTACATATTGTACTTTTTTTATTGAACTCATAAATGCGCATCCTATATTAGGTTCTATGCATATAGATCTAAATTATTTCATTTGTCCATAAGCAATCTTAGAACCTTGGTTGTCACTTTCAAATATTGACCTTATAATATAATATAATATAATATAATAAAAATATTAACCCTTATAATCTGTATTAGACTGTAGCGAAGCCAGATTTTGATTCAGTTATTGCAGCAGCTCTGCTTAATACACCCTACAGAAATCTTTAAGCATAACCATAAGATTATCGGGGAATTCATGGCATATTTGAATCATCTGTGGAAATGTTAACTGGCTTCCAACTTTCCTTTCACGGATTAGTAGAGAGATGTTCAGGCACCAATATAAGTTTAATTGTATACTCTTTGTTGTCTACGCAGGAGTTTATGTCTTTCAGGGCTGGTCACTTCTCAGGGATTATAAAAACCTATCTATTATCCTTAGGTATTTTAACCACATAGATTCCTAGTGGCCTTCTGGATAGACAATCAAGCCGAAGCGCTGTTCATAATTCCAGCTCTGGGGAGTATACTCCTCCTCCGACATTTCCGTCGCGTTTGGATCCATAAGCGTTTCGTATGTAGCGAGGCGAGGCCTGTTGTACCAGTCCTTTCGGGTTGGCATGGTAAGTTTATAATTTTTTTTGTAAAAGTAGGGGACGATTTAGAGTAACCAGTAAATCTCTCTTATCTATCCACCTCCATGTGACAGAGAAGTGAGCAGAATAGACCTCCTTGTGGAGTACTGCTCCTGATGGACCCGAAGTTGAGGCTCTTTCAACTGCCGTCTATATTGTCATAGCTTTTTGTGGTGTTCTACACGGATGCGCCAATGATAGTCGTAATTGAAAGCTGGATCAAGTACATATTTTTTTATTACTGGACGGGGTAAACTCACAACCAACGACAACTAAAGTTAAGTTTCACTGTTATATTTTGCTACCTTTCATATAGCAACATTTTCCAACTGGTACTCAACTTTTTGTTAATGAAATTAATATGTTTTCTTTTCTTTGCAGTAAGCGGGCAGACGGTGAGATTGAAAAATGTGGGTAGTATTTTACAACAACAAAATTCAGAACACCGGAGGCACATGCACACCCTTTGCACAATACACTTGACTGCAGTCGGCATAACAACAAACAACGCCTGCCGGCAGCCAGTCCTGCATGCTCAACGAAACTCTCCCACAACTGCTGAAGGTTATTCGTTTTTGTATAGTAAACTCTCAACATTAAAGCGCCAACGGCTCAAGCGGCGACAGCTGAAGGCGTCAACTGCAGCAGGGACTGCGTCTGTGACTGAATTGGTGAATGAGGAGGAAAATCAACCACCGGCTGCGTCTCAATCATGAGTCATTCAGGTGTTCCTGCTGTAGGTAGCAGCACAAACAGCTCATGCCAATGTACATATGTACATATATAGGAGTGCTTATACATACATATATGTGCATTAGGGTGGTCCAAAAATACATTCGTGGGGGGGAGTTTACCCCATAGGATTTTTCTAAGTGGAATATAAAATACCCGTTTTTTTTAAGTTATATTTAGAACTGACCAAAGCCCATGAAGTTTTCCATGTATTTGAAATGGAGAAAATATAATTTTTCATAGAAATGGTATGGAATTCTACAAAATCAATATTTTTCGATATAAAAACTCTGATTTTCCTCAGAAGACTTCCAATAGTAATACCCAAATGCTTATACCTATAAAAAATAGATAGTATTAAAAAAAATTAAAATAAGCATTTGGAAATCTTTTGAAGAGAAGCTGAGTTTTCCGATCGAAAGATATTGATTTTCAATAATTCCGCACCATTTCTATGAAGAAGTGTTTTTTCCCGTATAAAATATATGGAAAACTTCACGCGCTTTGAGGCAGTTCTAAGTATCTTCTTTTTTAACAAAAAAATGTGGGTATTTTTTATTCCATTTAAAAAAATCCTAGTCTTAACATTTAAAATTTTTTTTAGAACACCCTAATGTACATATTTACTCATTCATACAAACATTTTTGTTTGTACATGCATAAAATTGTGTAAGTGGATTCTGTAAAGCATAGCACTGCCTTTTTCACCACTGTGATTGTTTGTGTGTATTTTTACACATAATAATTGCATCATACATAGGTGATAGGCTAGGCCGGCGTAAATGTGTGAAAATGCACGCATGCCATGCATACACATCGCCGAGGCACGTAGATGGCGAAATGGTTGCCCTTTTGCAGATTACAACGTGTGGGATGCAAGTGCTTTCCAATGCTTTTTTGTTGTTACTTTTTTTTGTTGTAGTTACTGCACTCATTCGTGGCTTTCCTGTTTTGTTCGTAGCTTGTCCACTTCTACTTTGCTGTGACTGACAGTTTTGGATTGCGGTGTGGTTGAATGTAAGTACCGGCAATATATACAAATCAGGACTAGCTCCTTAACAAGTAGGAGCTTTTGTTGAGACTGACCAGTAAAATGTGTCAAAGCCGAAGCAAAGCCCTTAAAAATCGGTCCTCTCAAATATGGCGGTGGGGTCGTGTGAATACCACAGCTTCAGGTCTAAAGTTCACAGGTAAGGGCGTAGTCTGGATTAAAGTTAATGTACAAAAAAAAATATTTTTAATATTTTTTATTCAATCATCTTTATGCTAAGAAAAGGCTCGGATTTTCTCTCATCAATAATTCTCTTCTCAATCATCTTGCAGTTTTCGTTATTCCCGAAAGTGTTTTCTTTCTCTATTAACATTATTCTGGGTAGTTATGCAGTTAGAGTTGCAGCACAATACTCAATACCGACACTTCCCGACTGTCCCCGTTCGCACATTCTGGGTAATGTGAGCAACTCATGTGCGAGATGCGGTAACCAACTAGTGTGTTAGCGCCATGCTGTAGGACCTACTGCTCCGCACATCGCAAGTCGCTAAGGTCGTTGCTTATGTGGATGACTTAGTTATTCTGGTCGTGGGGAATGCCTCTCATAGTCAGCGAGATTCTACAATCTGTAATTAACGATCTGGCAGGGTGGGCAGCAAGAAACGGTCAAGGGGTTAATGACACTAAACCCGAACTTGTTATTTTCACAAAGCAACATAAAATAGGCAAATTTCAAGCTCCGTCCCTCAACGGAGCAAATCTTAAATTGTTAAAGTTGTTGGGGGTTATCTCGACAATAAGCTTTCCTGGAAAAGTAACTCCGAAGAGTGGAGAAATAAGGCGCTCAATGCGCTCTACTCCGGCAAAGCTATGATTGGAAAAGACTGGGGGCTGCAACCGCAGAGAAAACACTGCATTTATACGGTGGTAGTTAGACCTATTCTCACCTATGGCGCGCCGGTATGGTGGCAGGCGGTTGACACAGCAGCAGTGGAGTACAGCAGCTGTAACTATCAGGTCACGGAAACTGACTTCAATCGAAATTTCGGCATCCATTTTCCGAGAGAAGTGACTGGGAATTTAGCGTTGCTCTCAGCGATGAGAAAATAACCATTTCCACGGACAGCTCCAAAATGGATATTCGGAACAGGATCTGACGTCTACTCTCCGGGTTTATCACTGCGAGGGTCCTATAGACTCCCAGATCACTGAAGTGTTTTTAAGGCTGAGATATATGCAATCGGCATGGCGGCAAGGTTAGTAGGCATGATCGACCTAGCTCCATCTAAACTTGCCTTCGTTGTTGACATTCCGGCGACTATCAAACCCTTAAGGCCGGCAAAGACTAACTCAATATGTGTTAAAGAATGCCGAAAATCCCTACAAGCATTACAGCAACACATAATAAATCCTTACTGTGTCCCGGGCATTGTGGTGTCCTGGTAAATGAGAAAGCGGACGAATGTGCTAGAAAGCGATCTGAGATGGGGCTCGAGGAAGCCATCCATATCGTGAAACTTTTCCAGCGATTTGTGTCTTCAGAAGTGGAGAGACTGACCAGGGCAGCCATCAACAGTAGGTGGGGAAATCTATCGCGCTCGTTCCGGCCACAGATCGAAGAGCGAAAAAAATTTAGTTTATTAAGGTTTGCAAAGCCAAACGCTAGACTTCTCACAGGAATTCTAACGGGACACTGAACCATTGGCCATATGGCCAACAGGTTCGAAGTCTCGCATAACGATTTCTGTAGAAGCTGCACAGATGTGTAGGATATAGAATCCGTACAGCACTTCCTTTGCGAGTATCCAGCACTCCGAGGAAACGCCTCCCTTTGATGTATGCAGCTTTTTTGCTAGAAATCTTAAATAAATACCTTGGCAAAACAAAAAAACACGCAAACAAATTTTGAACACTATTATCCTCAATGAAGTTCTTTTAATAAAGAGTTTTCTTGATCAGCAATCTAGTTAATATCCACTACTGAGGTACAATTATGGTGGCTTTAATCAAAACTAAAATAATACAAATCCGATATACTTTTGAATATGCAACCATAAATTGGTAAGTTAAATGGAAACAGGCTTTTTAATAGACTTAATAAAGTAGTAATATCTTAATAGAAACTCAGCTGATCATGATAATTTTTAAGCAATCCTTGAAACGAAAAGAGTACCTTTATTTCATTATTCATTCATTTACCGACAAATCAACCAACAAATATTCCTTTTTAAAAATATGTTATGCAAATTTTCTTTGCAAAATTTTAGTTTCTAAATCTAACGGAGCTTGCACGAATTCACCTTTACACAAATACCTACTTGCACTTTTGCCAAATACTCGACTACTTCAGTCTACTGCAGTTGAACTTCTACTTTGCCAAGGCGAAGAATGCCCATTTTGCCTCGTTCCTCCAATCAGCTTGATTTTCCAATTTTTCGCTAGTATTTTGTTGTTAATTTGTGCATATTTCCGAAACTTCAACCCTCTCAATTTCAATGGAGCTAGCTTTTTTTTCTGGCCCTACTACTGCCCAATTCCATCGCCATCGATTACTTCACATTATCGAGTGCTCCGTTACGGGTCGTGTGTTTCGTTACAGCAACGCTGCTACTAAACGTGCGTACATACATATGTACATATGTATGTAAATTTGTTGAAAATATTTTTTTTTCACATTTTGCCATTTTTATGGCGATATCCGTTTCCGTGTGCCATGTTGCGTGACTGTCGCTCAACGATGTTTATGAATGCGTGTGTATGTATGTTTTGTGTGCCCGAAAGTATGCTGCCGAAATTTATTTTCACACTCGCTGTCTGCTGCTTCGTCTGCTAAGGTTGGTGATTTGTGTAAATGACTATCTGGCTGGACATTTTCACGATTTCCGGGCACAAAGGCCGGAATGGTTTTGGAGCTGACTTTGAGGACATGTGTGAATTTAAGGAGAATAATTTTGTTGTTTTTAATATTTAGGGTAAGATTGGTATAGCCTTCTCAATGTCAAAGAAAGGTGTTGAAAGCACAAAAGCAGTATAAGAAATGCTTTTAATAATATTTAACTTTTTTGGTCCTTACAGTGTGAATAATATGGGTTCCAGTGATTCGTTTATTTGGACGCTATCGTGTTGAACTGTTTAAAGGTGTGCCGTTTATGGCTAGACAGGAAGAACTATAGCTGCAAGTTGTTAGTACAACGGGGGTAAAATGCCCAGCCGAAAATAAAAAGCCATATTTATTGTACGTTTTTACCTCCTAGTACTAGTAAATATATTAGTATATATGTACCTCCATACGTTTATGTATTTTCATTTGCTTTCTATTGTGACTCATAGTTTTCGAATTATTGCATTTTTACATCAATTGTTGATAACGTAAATGACTTTTTGAGCACAAAAATGGGAAAGTAAAAGGGAACAAAAAATATGCATGAAATTCATGTGAATTATGCTGGCTATGCATGCAATCAGCAAAGTAGCGGGGAATACATACTTTTAAGAGAGAACTACCAATACCAACCATGCAAGGAACCTTTGAAGCCAGCAGATTGTGTTTTGCTTATGCACAAAATGAAATGTTCAAACGGGAAATGAGCGGTAAGGATCAAGAAAGTTTACCATCGTTCTGCATATACATACATACATCTGTAATAGCAACTAAATATGCATAGAAAAACTGTAGGCAATATGTATGTTCAAAAAACAAGAAAAAAATGCACATAAAATATAACCAAATAGAATATAGAATGAGTAATGAAATAATAATGCTTCATTCCAATTAGTGTAATATTTGTATCTTATAAGATTCAAGATTAATTAAAATTGTTTAATAGCGTTTTCTTTTCTACCGAAAAATATTTTGCCTTCTCAGTGGCCCCTACGCACAAAAACGAAGGAGAGGGCAATGAAAAGGCATAATTTTTTGTAGAAAAGAAAACGCCATAATTTAAAATCAGAATAGGAGGGCTCAATATTTCAAACTGAAGTAAAAAATAAAAAAATAAAAAAAATCTTGCAAAGTAAAAACTTTTTGGGTTTCTGTGGTAATAAGACCGCATATAAGGGTATTAGATAAGCAGAAGAAAAAGTATCAAACAGGTGACTTGTGCTAACTGT